TTGGAAAGATGCATAAAATCATTCAAAATCTATTACATTTATGGAAAGTTACATTGTTACGCTCGGTACCAATACAGCTTTTCTTTTTGACCAGCATACGAGAGTCACACTGAAAACTTTGCGATACAGATTAATTGTGCAGGATAAACTTACCTAATCGTAGGTGTGTTTAAAGTAGTTTCTTCTAGCAACAATACACTTTTGTAGGCAAATTTTCCAAAAATTAAATGCTTCATGTCTATTTTTGGGAAACTATGAAAAATATGCTTCTATAGTATTAACAGTATTCTTTTCAGAATAAAAACGACAGAAAAGTAAATTTTGTTTTAAATTACAAAATCCCCATATTTTACATATAGTAAGATAAAAAAAAAAGTAGGATGTGTAGCGATCATAGGACTATATTTCGTAAAGGCGCGAATAAGTTCAAGGCAAGGGAGGAGAGGTGTTGACCTGGCTCAAACGGGAGAGAAGTGAATACGCGTCGGAGTTCACTTAACACTGTCAATTTGATGTTTGGATTTACTTTATTTCGTTTTTGGAAATGCTGTAATATTTTCCATACGCATAAGAAACTTAAGTAGATAAATTCTGATGTTAATATGAATGATATTGCATCTCACCTTATGAGGTTTTATCAATCATTCTCATATGGAGATAGCATAAAATGGTAAAGTGATGACTCGGTTTTGGAGCATGCAAGTGGACAGAAATTTGCTAATCTTACTCCGTCGATGAAACACGTGGACTGATGGACTTTTTATCATCAAGGATCACAACAAGTTATTTTCTTTTACGAAATATCCTGTCCATGTCCTAAAGTCTATAACAACGATACCGATCAAGCATAGCATGCAGTGATTCAAATGACATAGCTTCAATTCGAAGCTTTCGAGTTGAGGACTTCAACTGTTTTGCTTTTTTCTGATGTATATATACTAATCTCTGTGTCTGATCCGAAGTTTTAATATAGCCATTTATTCTCCTGTTGCTTGACCAGGTGGAATGATCTGTATTATCAGAGTCGTTCATAGAATCGTCTGAGTTAGGCCTACAGAACTTGCCCTGGATATCCAGCGTTTTGGTTATAACGAACACGTAAAATACTACTTACCGAGTAAGAACGAGGATGCATGCTACACGAAATGTGACGATCGCCACATGAGCTGTTTCTTGCCCTTCTTAACTTCCGGCCTGATTTTCTTATTAGCTAGTGGACAACGATCGCCAACGCCAACTTCCAGGGTTTAAAACGAAAGAAGAGTGATTCTGCGTCTACTTTTTTAATCAAGCCTTGCACCTGAGTAGGAAGGAAATGATATTGCATTCAGGTTTGGCATTATTAACTTTTGCCATTGGAGATTTGCATGTCATTAAAATCTTCTCGATTGTTTAGAAGTAGTAAAATTTGTCGTGTCTCCAAAATTTGACTGCATGAAAGCAAATTCAATAAAAACGCTTAAAATATTTTAAAATCACAATATATTTTATATATACAAAATGTTTAAAAATATTCACTGTTTTATTAACATTCTCCTATCATAAACATGTAGCTCATGCTGCATTACGATAAACTGTGTAGAGTTATTAGGCTATTTTTGAAGCAAGAGACATGAAAAATGAGCAATGCCTTCGCCGGAACTCGAACCTGGATCTCCTGAATACGCGCCGAGTGTGCTACCGTTACAGAACGAAGGCAAGCAGAAAGGAGAGAGAAAATAATTTGTTGAGACATTAGGATTTTTGGAAGCAGAAAAGATGAAAAATTAACAACGCCTTCACCGGGAATGGAACCACGGACCTCTGAAATACCGGCTCGGTGTGCTGACCACTACACCACGAAGGCACGCTAGGGAGGTGGGAGAAATACGTAACAACTTTATAACTGATTTTAATGATCATTGATACGTAGCGTTAGTATTGAACCGAATCTATGCTTGCAGTAACTAATACATGATAAAGAATGCTTTTACCCGTTTGTGTTTTACCGGAAAATTGACTAGCAGAGCAAATGTTATATCAGTATCAAAATTTCATTAATGTTATTTCTAGGAATAATTTGAAAATAGCAGTAGTGTTTACTTCATATATGTTCTATCAAATAATTATTATACAGTACAAACAAAGTACCGATCCAATGGAGATCTCGTTAATTAACATCAATGTTGTAACATCTGAGTGTGTTTTTAAATGCGTATAATTTTATGGATATAATGACTGGGCATTGAAGATCATTAAAGTGAAATCCGATTTTCGCAATTGTTACACTGACAGAAAAAAATGTATTATTAACATAACACAAATAATTTTATTAGGTTTAAAATACTACGAATATCAAAATAAAAAATGGATAAAAACTTAAGTAAATTTTATTTACTATTATTCTTTTAAAAATTAATATACATTTTGTTACATAAATAATTGAAAATATTTCGTCTGGTTTCGACATAAAATGAATTTGTTTATTTAAAATAATAACCAAAAAATGAAGATTACCATGAATTGTTTTTGTAACTTGAAGCAAACTAACCTTTTGGACTTTTAAATAGTTCAAGAATTGCGGCTAGAACTTTTTTCTGAAAAAATACCATCAATTTTGGCTAATGAAAAACAATTAAAGTATTCTCTTATGAATGTTTGTTTGAATATTGTTAAGACGAAAAACAAATTCCTGACAATTTAATTTCTTTTCTTAAAACAAATATCCTCCTACCCCGCAATGACAGTTCTGATCATTTGAAATCTAGTTCCAATTAAGCTTATTTAAATGATGTATTCCCAATGTTTCTAACTACGCCAAAGCGGTTTCTTAAATGAAGCTATGAAGCTTTTTATATTTCAAGAATTTCAAGAATATGCCAAAAATACATCGAAATAAAGAAGGGTCGTGATCTGCATAATTTTCAATTACACAAAAGAAGAGTTTGTGTAATAGCCCTATCCGAACAAGATGACAATGAATTGCATGCTTCTAATAATACTGATTTACTTATTGCAAGACCATTGGGATACATATTATTATTGTAAAAGCTGGTCCTAGCCATCATAAAGGAAGTACTAAGGACTGTACTGCATAAGTACTGTACTACTGTACAACTAACCGAAATCACGAAAAACATTCCCTTTGAGTAATGAAAAATATTTTTAAGAAATCATAATTTGGAATAAAATGCTTTGATTTGCTACTCTAATGATAGTTAGATTCAACAATGATTATTATATCATATTTAAAAACAGAGGTGGTTAATTAAAGATTGTGCTGTCTGTTGGTAAGGTACACTCTGCTCGTTAACATCTAACAGAAAAAATTCTAAGTGAATAATTTATATACATTTTATCTTGTCATGAAGGCAGTGAACAAAATCAGAGATAATTCTTTAAATGACAAGTTGTTTGAGCAACTCATTACTGAAAATTCTGAAGATTTTAGTTATTTGTTTCTTCATACAAAAATTCTTTGTCTACTATGGTGAACACTTTTGAGCTGTTTGTCCAAATATTTCAGCTCAGTCCTAGAGATTTAGGAAAGATCCTGCTTTAACAACAGACTTGGTAAAGTTAAAAAATAAGATAGAAGTTATTTAATAGAATCTTTAATAATCAACGAAATACTATTTAAGTTTCAAACGATGGCATTTTTGCATTTCTAGCAAAGCTTTGTAAACATAAAGACTTACGAAATTTAATCATATTTCAAATTGGCCAGCTTTAGAAAAAATGACGAACATGTACTGAAATATTGCCAGTGAATAATAATGGAAGGTTTTTAGATTGGACTTGAAGAAAAAGTTTCGAGATACCTTCAAAATGGATGTAGCCGGTTGGAATTTGGTTTCTTTGCGTAATTTCAGGATCATCTTTAGTTGTATAAAGATCATAAAGTGCTGATTTAAAATTAAAATTTGGGTACCAACAGTTTTGGCTTTGGCAGGAAATATTTGAATCTTGCATTGGTTTATGGATACTTCATAGAAATTTCTCCGTAGCATTCATTTATGTCATTTAGCAAACGCTGATTCAGTACAGCTACAAATCTAATAACTAAAATTTAAAAAAAAAAAAAAAAAAAACTGATTGCGAAGTTTTAAAGATATTGTTAACAAAAATGGAATCGTAAATTGATAATAAACTGGTGGCAAATTATCAGGCTTTTTCCTTATGCATTCATTGGCAACATTTTATTTCACATTTAGGTTTTGCAACAATAAAAAATGAATTCTTTCGCTTGGTTGGAAAAACGAATGTATGACAGGTAATGGCTAAAGAACAAAAGCATGAGAAACTTCTATTAGTATGACAGAGATGTTGTAAATAATAAATTAATTAGCGTCGTACAATGTCTCTTTTATTTTAGTTGCGTTAGCAACTTATTGTTGCGAAATACCCAGCTGCGGTAAGATAGGTTCCCCACAAAGTAGTTTTAGGGTTTCCAGAAAATGGCAAAAAAGGAAGGTTTGTCAGGTTTGGCGCGAAATCGTCCGTTCGGCGACAAAATAGGTGATATGTCATAGACGGAGCGAAAACATTCTAGTACGTGTTCTTAGCGATTTTGCCTAGAATGCTCTCGAAAGGCAGGTCGAAAGTTATAAATACCCTGCATGTACGCAGAACAATTTATCGTGACGAGTATTATGAGTGTGTTGAGTTTGGTAGTGGTGCTTCAGTTCAGAGAGCTTGAGACAGATTGAATGAGTCGGGAGCTGTATTTAGTGCTTTGCTGTGAAGCTGTCTTCATCGTTATAGCCTGATAGCCTGAGGCTGTGTTGCTGATTGGTTCAGCGAGATTATGGTAGCTTTTCGACGACTAAAACGTCATTGGAACTGTCCTATGTAATACTGACAAATGATTTGTGTTTTAATTCTTCATCAATCACTCCGAATCCACGAAACCGTAGAACGCTACAATATCTACCTATTTATCTCTTGGGCCATCTGCCTCTTTACATGTTTATTTATTTTTCATACTATTCATATAGATGTGAAGTTAATTGTCTACCTACCTGTCTATAAAACTGTGCATCCCTACTACGATGAAGATCCAGCTAAATGCACCGAGTCTCGGAGGACAAGATCACAGTATTGTTTCTGAAACCTGAAAACGAAGCAAGGAAAATTAGTTACCAATAAACCTAAAAGGAATTTTATTAAATGTAACCCCAAGAAAGGAATGCGACTTTTTTAACAGAAATTTTGTGAGCGATTACAGGAGAAAGATCAATATAGTTTTAATTTATTCTCGATTTAAATGTCACGCAGAAATTTAGAGAACATTAAATTTCTATTTTTTTTCATCATTAAACATCTATTTCTATTTTAATTTAAATTTCTATGAGAATTCACTTTGAATTGAAATTTTCTGATTACTATTCCAGGCAATATTTCATCGAAAATCGGAACTGACATTAATTGAATAACGTGGACATAGAATGAGGGAAAGTACTTCAAACTAGAGTCTTAAATAAAAAAAATATATATATAAATAAATTTTAAGAGAATATAAGAAGTAGTTTGAAAATAAGCCTTTAGTTGAGCATTCATGCGTAATAAGAAATTTTAGAAAAAAATTAAGACTACGATTTAAGTCAAAAAGAATTCCATTCTTTTTCCCTGTTTCTGAAAGTAGAATATTTTGACTAAATATTTTGTAACCCCAAATGGCATAAAGAGAAGATTCAATTAACTTTAACTGCTACGGGAAAATGTTTTGAGTGTTGCCTAGGGAGGGGAACACGAAAATTGCAATTTGAATTCTTCAATTTACAATCTCAGACACCAAAGAAAACTTTATCCTTGAAAGTGTTAAAGTGAAAGTGAAAGTCCCATGAAGTAATGCGACGAGGCGATTACAATTGCTCTTTTCCATCAGTCGTTAAATCCTGCAACCACCAATTCCATATTCGCATGAATGTGGATATATGCAGTAATATGGATATATGCAGTAAGAATAATATGCAGTCTCAGTATGCAATGATTCTGCCTCGTTCGAACTCAGAAACGTGCTTGACCGATGCTCGAGTTTTCTACGACGGTTACTGAAGCTGCACATATAAAAATCTGATGAGAGAACAACTCAAGTTATTCAGATCGCCAATCTTTGGTTCCTTTATATACGGAGAGAAGGGTCGCTGCAGTCGCCCATTATGTGCGCTTACTCTTAAATCATAATCATCCATGGCGGTACACACATGATGCAAGTTTCATGCCATTTGGATGTTTCCTTCATAGTGTTACATTTTGGATGGCCAGCAGTTTATTAATTCTTATATCCTTGTTCTCATTTTTGTCTCTGATGAAAAATATTTTTTAAGAATAATTGTATGAATTTTTTAGTGAGTTGTTTCACTTTAGTTCAATGATGTTAAATACAGTCCGTTGAATAAACAAAACAATACAAAAGAATATGCATATATATATATATATATATATATTTCTATGGCTAGTTTAGCCATTTCTTAAAACATGTTTTTTCATACTATACAAATTTGTATTTATTCTTTTCGAGTAATTAGAACTGTTTAACTTTTATTTGGAAAAACTGTTATGTAGGGAAAGGGGTGCCTAACTTATATACAAATAGTTTAAAATAATTAATTTGAGTGCCTAAACTGAAAAGAACGGAAACATAACCAATTTTGCCCCCCCAGAAAGTACATCGTTGATGGATTTTTCCTCCTCTTAAAAAGGTTTTGAATCTTACAATGATAATGTTATGTTTTCCTTTTTGTATTTATTTGTGTATTTTTCTTTTTTTCTGGTTACTTTACCAACTCCGTCCAAATTAATATAATAGATTCTATATTAACTTTTAAATTAGAATTTTTCCAACTTTCTATCATTATTTGCTTGTTTAGTTTTAATTTAAATTAGAAGTATTTGCATATGTATCAGATATTGTAGTTTTTACGGAAGCTGAAACCGACTCGCACGTTTGTCATGACGGAGAAGACTGTTGCTTAGACGACGACTGCTGCGAAAATCACAACTGACTTGATTGTTAAACATCATTTTTATTTTGCAGCGAAAAGTTTTTTCAGAAATACATTTTTGCTCTAACCGAAGCGAGAGACGCTATTTATTGAGGTAGTGGTGGGTGGAAAAACGTAATGCGCACTCACAGCTGTTGTATTTATAACAGGAAAGTGTCTGTGCTACTGAGTAGAGACTGGGATATAGATTTCGCAGTATAGAGATACTGCAGGGAAAGAGTGATCTAATGTGCTTCAGAGTTACGCAGCAAAGCGTATTCTTTGAAGCAGCGATGCATTTAACTAAAATTTATGAATTTAAAGGTCAGTTGTGGTAGTTTACTCCAATTAAGTTTAATAATTTTGTTTCATATTTTATATTTTACATATTAATATTTAAGATAAAAATATATAAATCAAAATTATAATTTAGATTAGCCAATAGCCCCTTAACTCTTTATTTTTAATTTGGGTATTTCCCCTCTCTACTATAAAAAAGAGTAATAGCTATTTCTGGATTTCTTCACTTTTAGATCAATCCATATCATATGACTTGCTGATGACTTAGTTAATTCGGAAACTGAACTCAAAATTTTGAGAATTGACACCATTTCCTTGTTGAGCTTCCATACTGGATAATTGCGCTTTTTTGCTTCTACCTCTGTTCTCGCTAAGACTATGACTCTCTACTTTCTTCCTATCCCAACAGTGTCATATTGTAAATGTTTCTGAATTTGGACCATTAGAGTTCTAAGTAAATTGTGGCCGCAAATGTCAGTTGGAATAATAGTGACTATTCAAGCTGCATTGGCTGCCAAATTTGCTGCTCATTATGGATTCAATATTCACATTCTATGTTATCAAAGCTCCTACATCCTTCCATCTAAGTCTATTTTTTCATTAAATACACATATAGGAGAGAGAGAACAAAGAGAAAATGATATTAAAGAATAAAACTCTGCGAAATGAATAGCAGTTTTTTGAAATAGTAATCAGCTGCGAATAAAATGGGAATTTTTAAAATTTCTAACAATTAATGATTAAACAATATCTATCACTAAGAAAGCAAACAAACTGCAAAATAGGAAATTATTCCTGAAAACAAAAGTTAATAATATTATAAGCAAAGATTCCGATGATTTTAGATTCTTTTGGTGTTTTTCAAGGCAGGGCCCAAGAGAATTAACAGCTGCATATTTTTTATCTAGTTGAATTACAAAACAGAAGTGAACAATTATTTAAATTGTTGAGCAATAAACATTTTCAAGTTTTCAAGCTAAATGCAATAACAAAAATTCTGAAATAAAATTAAAGTTCTTGAAAAACTTTTGGAATGAAATTTAATTAAATGCATTCAACGATATATAGTTTGTCCCAACGAAACTCGAAAAAATGTTTGCCTTACTTTCTACAACTACAGTCCCTCAAATAATGTCGTAATTCTAGGAAAGAAGAAATTATGCCATTTAAAAGGAAAAGCAAATGGATTAATAAAAGCTGGAAGCTTAAGAATGCAAATTATCTAAATCGCTGTTGTGAGGAACTGTAGTAATATGGTTGATGTAAGCAATATAGAAACCAATGAAAAACCCTGTGTCAGAGCAAAAAAATTGTTAACGCAATTTGCATAATGGGGGAAAAATCTGTCCGAAGGAAAAATGTAATTCCTTTAACTGCAAGTCATTATGAATTTCATCGTGAAAAACTGTGTAGAGTCAATGTTAAAATCAGTGCATATTGTTAAAATCGAGAAACTTAATATTTCGAATTAATTAAAAAGAACAAACTCATGAAAATGAATAAATTATAAAAATAGGAGCTCTAAGAATAGTCAAACAGCAAAATCTGAAATAAAATCAAGCATGATCTTATGTCTGAATGAGTAGACGTACATCTAAATTGTAAATATTAAAAGAGTATTAAAAACATTCGAAACAAAACAGAAACAGAAGCTGAAAGATTGAGTATTCATGGAAATAAAAAATTAAAGAAACAATAGAAAAGCTTTATCTCCAAACTTGGTGAAAACAGCGTGAGCAAAAACTCCACTCAAGCAAAAATAGTTATTCCGCCAGTTCATACGTGGCGGAATAGCTATTTCTGCTTCAATGGAGTAGCGATAATGTATTAGGCACAAGTTGAGAGATGGTAGGCAGCTCTATCCCAGCAAGAAAATTAAAAGAAAAAGCAAAATGCCCTGGGAATCTAATAAATAGGGAAGTAATTTTGAAATTATATACTATGCTTTAATATAATTTATATAAAAATTGTATTAATAATGCATAAAAATTGTGATCTTATAAGATGAGTTTTAAATTTAACTTAGAAATGGAAGAAAGTTTGTCAACGGAAAAATGTGTTCTGTTATTAGCATATATAGTTATTTAAGTAATTATATATACTACATAACGGTGAAGACAGCTTCACGGCAAAGCACCCTGCTCGATCGTTCTCTGAACTCTACGTACTCTCGCGAATCTCCACGCTACAACTCGCGATGCACTTGAAGATACACTGAAGTACAGCTTTCGACTCGGTTCGGCCGTTCTCGGAGCTTAACACACTCTAAGATAAAACTCGACGATGAACTAACACTCGATACACTAAGACTCTCTCGATGCAGTCGACAACCAGCTCGGCACTAGAATTCGTCACACTCGCTGACTGACTCTTAATTCACTCGACTACGCACTCACTGACTGACTATCAACTGTCTCTCTGCCTACCAGCAGGGTTTATGTAGCTTTTGGCTTGCGTTCGAGAACATTCTGGGCTAAACCAGAAAGAATTCGTTCCAGAAGGTTCTCCATCCGTCGATGGCATATCGCCAATTTTGTCGCCAAATGGGCGAATTCTCGCCAAATGTGGCAACCCTGTTTTTCCTTTTCATTTCCTGGCAACTCTAAATCTGCTTTGCGGGGAAGCTATCTTACCGCGGTTGGACATTTCGTAATAATACTATATACATATAGAGAGAGAGAGACATGCGTAGATAAATAATGATTAAAATGAATGCAGTTTAAAGAATTGCTTAATTACATTACAATAATTAAAACATTTGTAAGTTACTTTTATTTTAATACTTTTTATATTATATATACAATCTAGTTTATTAATATTCTGGCAA